TGCGGCCGCGATTTCTGATATTATTTTTCTGCGAAAACTTCGTTGACCTTTGGAGACATCATTAATATAAATAATTTTTATGGCCGTTAAATAAGAAATGTTTCTTTCACAAGAAATGTATAAAATTACAGTACTAAACAGACGATAGGTCGCCTAACTCGCCGTAGCGTGACGCTAGACGGCGAAAAATATATATTTAATTATAATAAAGTTACAATAAATTAAGTTAATATATAATTATATATACAGTATCTAATTTATACCTAATTTATATATAATTATATGTACTGTACAGTACCTAATTTATATATAATTTATATAATACTGTCCAGACGATAGAAATCTCTCCGTAGCGTGGCGCTACGGACGGCGGGAAAGTAGTTCGGTTGCCTGATGACGTTTTACGTAATTATAGGAGTTTTTTTACCTTTTTTTATGGATACCGTCACAATTTTTTCGCAGTTTTATAGGAATCGTAATTATTGGGACCATAATTATACGGGGCTCGACTGTATTTAGAAAACTTCTCAATTCATTTCTTCAGTTTCATAAAACATCTTTGTACTCTATATCATTTTCTTTTACATTTTAAAAAATTTATTGTTTTAATATCCAAGTAAATTAAAACATGACAACTTAAAATAAGACAAAGTTTAATAAATTCTTTTTAATTATTAAATTATAAAATTAATTTGCGATAATAATGTTCACAATTTGTACTAATATTGGATGTGGTTGAGAATTATTAATATATATTCGTCTATAAAATTTAATACATGAATTTTTTTGGTAGTAAAATCGACTTGCCATTGTCTTTTGCTGATAATTGATGCTTTTTAACATAATCTATAGCCCAAGATTTCTCTTGAAAAATTAATTTTGTGATCAGTGCTACCCAAACCACTACTACTACTATTTACACCATAGACTTCTATGCATACTTTTTTCCCGCGAGTTTTAATAGAATTTGTTGCCAATAAACATCAGTGGCATAATAATAAATACAATGACGTAGCGAACATAACTGGCGCCCGGGCCGCGACACTATATTGGCGCCCCCTCCCCCTCCAGAAACAAATTTTGTTTTTCTTGGAAACCATTTGGCTCCCCTCTGCAAGTGGCAC